GACCTCGTTCCTTGTCTGCACCTATGCTTCTATCCAGGAAGATTAGGAAAGCAGGACGCAAGTGCTCACCGGTGCCTGGGCTGACGAACGCGCAGCCGCCGTACGCGCCAATGCGCCCGACGTGATTGGGGAAACGCGCAAAGAGGTGTCGTAAGACGGCCTGCGTGTCGGATCTGGGGGTGAAAAAGACGAGCTTGTACTTTTGCATGATGACGGTGTTTAGTAGATTTCCGAGCTGAGTGGAGGCTGGTTTCCCTTAAGCAGGTGCTAGAGCCTACACTCGCGTACTACATGTACGGCCGTCGGCCGCCCGGCCAGCTGTAGGGAAACTTCAAACCGAGGCAGCTGACGCACTGGCACTATTAACGGTTTGATGCTCCTTTGAAACGACAGAATATTGAGTCAGACATTTCGTATTTACCAAAATCCTCTCTTTAGTACGATTTAAATGTCCGAAGTAATTCTATGCTGTGGGTGCTATAGTGTAGTGGTTATCACTCGGGATTTTGATTGCCAATGTTCCCGAAACCCAGGTTCGAACCCTGGTAGCACCTTTTCTGTCGATGTTGCTCCACATTCCTTTTGTGGTGCGTTGAGAGATGCATATGGAGCTCCCGTCAAATTTTCGTTCGTCTTTCTAACAAATAGCGACTATACAATCCACCTAGCGCGGACCACAGACCTCTCAGTTCTCCAACTTCAAGTTTGAGCCCGTTCAAGGACCACACAACGTCACAGCGTCATCACTGATACTGTTCAGATCACAGGCGCTCGTAAAGGTGTTTAGTCTTCCACCACCACCACCACCACCGCGACTGTCCTGCCCGTCCTGCCCCGTTGATCCTCTTCCGTTTCAGGCTCTGAGAATATACCTCCTGGAGTGCTGGGCTGAGTGCGAAATGCCATAAAGGTTGCTTGGAAGGTGAGTTGCGCATCCTCCCGACGTTCCATGATGTTCAAGTAAAAGGGTCGACCCCGTCGAACCGCGAACCGCACCCACGCCTGGCCCTCGAGCCCCCAAAGTGTTCGAAACCCGACGTGTCATCTCACGAGATCGTCGTGGCACGCCTTAAGGCCGGACCTACATCATTCTCTTACACACCGGGTGGCCTCTGTGCCCAGCGGCTCTATCAAAGGTTTGCGCGCCGCAAGCCCCAAGGCGCGTGAACAAAGGCAGAGTCGACAGCCGGGGCCGTGCAGCGTGCGGTGCGTCCTGCCCTGGTGGGGCGCGTGGCCGTGGCGCGGGCCCGACGTTGAAAGCCAAGCTTGTGCAGAGGAGTGTTACTCTGTTCCAGGCGGTCTCAGACGTGGTACTCTGTATGCGAACGTGAAAGGATCCCGCCGCGTGCGACGGGGCGCGCGGCATAAAGCGTCCAGGCTCAAGATCAATGCCCGTGGCGTGTGGTTCCGTGCGTATAAGTGGCAGGAGCGAGTGCCGTGTGGCGTGGACGTGCGTGAGCGTGTTTGGTGGGGAAAGGAGATCATATGCGTGGGGGTCTTTCCCGCCTGAGATTATAATTTCCGATGTATGATGGTCCGTACGTTTTACTGATTTTTCTTTGGGCAGGTCAGTGTTCTTCACTACTCAAAATACGATTATATGCGTTGGTGCGGTGGTTACTCTACGGAAGAGGGTGTCTAATGATTGAGACGGCCGACCACATCCCTTTGGTAGTTTAAATATCTTATTGTGCATGATCTGACGGAGTATCTTGATAGACTTGTGTGATTATACCAAACGCCTCCTCTCATCATGCTTGTCACCACACCATTGAAATACGCTGCCTGGTACTACCTTCCAGGCTATGCCACTCGACAACTTCTCTCCCTCTTTCACGCCGTGTATGCGCGGGTCCTTCGCCGACAGCCACCAGCTCCTGGTACGCCTGCCTACGTGTTCCATTACCGCATGACCTACCTATTCTTCGCCGTCGTCTACCTGTTGTATAATCTCTATGACGCGGCGGCCACAATGGAACCCAACTACTACGAAATTCTCGGATTGGCACCCACAGCAGACGACGGCATGTTGAAGACGGCGTTTAGACAGTTCGCGCGAAAATACCATCCGGACAGGGTTGGAGCGCAAGGGGAGGCGTTGTTCATGGAGGTGCGAGACGCGTACGATGCGTTAAAATCGCCGGTGAAGCGGTTCGCCTATGAGAGGTCGGTGGCGAGGTGGTCTTCCTCGTTGTGGATGTTCTGATGATTCGTAGATTCGGACCGGATGCGCTACGGTGGACGCAGTGTACAACCGTACGTGAATACGTACGGCATGGTCTCTTGCAGGCCTCCGGGTTCTACATCGTCTCTCTCTGTGGTCTGGTCTTCTTCTCTTTCGTGAGCCCTTCAAGCCCAGTATCATACGTAAGCGTCCACCAGTGATCTTGTGTTCGTCGACTCATTTTGTATGTTACGGTACAGTGGAGGTACATCATGCTAGCTTTCACCGCGGTCTACGAGCTACTCTTTCTCCTCAACCCTTCACCCTCTCCTCCATCTGCAGTCACCCCAGTTCTTTTTGCAGAGCCCGGGGCTGCCACGCACACTAACTTATTCTCCCTACTCTGGCCCCATCGCGTATCATACCAACACGTCCGCTTCCTCCACACGTTGTGGGTCCTCGGCTGCTTTGCGCTGTCCAACGTGGCCCCGGCCGTATTCCCCTCCCCATCCCCCGCCGTGCAAGAAAAATGGATCCTCACCGAGACAGAGCAACTCGCGAAGCTCGCCGGGGCGATCGCGCTCGAATGTGCGTCCCATCTCTCCCTTCTTCTCCCCTCGTTTCCGCGACTCAACGCACCCGCACCGCAGCCAACGCGCAGCTGTCCACGCTCTTCCACCCGGTGCACGGCCCGCGCACGGGCACGCCCGCGACGGAGGGCACGTTCCCGTACCTCGGCGCGCTCCCGAACGAGGGCCGGCCAGCGGACGAGGTCGTCGCGCTGCTCGCGACCGAGATGGAGCACCTCCTCCTCGAGTCGCAGATGCGCGCGGACGGCGGCCCGCTGCGGAGCGCCGTCGAGGGCGCCGTCGAGCGGCGCAAGCGCGAGGGGGCTAGGGATGTGGGGAGGAGTTCGTCGCTGAAGGCGTTTGCGACGCAGGGCGCGTGGCGGAGGCAGGATCAGAATGGGAGCGCAGATGCCGGTGTCGGTGTCGGTGTCGGTGCGGGTGCGAGTGCGGGTGCGATGGGGACGCCGGTGCGGGTGAGGAAGGAGCGGTTGTTGGGGTATGTGCGGGGACGGTCAAGGTCTCTGGGTTGATTCGGTACGTGCTTTGAGTGTGATACGTCGCTCTGTACTGATTAATATGTGCCCAGGACGGCGTTCAAAGTAGTCATAACGGCACATGGCTCCAATGTTGTATGTCGGAGAATACGAGAACGAACACGAGCGGACGTTTCCTCCTTTCCGGAACCTTAGGGACATAGCACGACAAGTAATCCATGTCTTTCCTGCTCCAGGGGGGTTTCGCGGTCGTGTATTATTGTGACAGACTCCTTAAACTTACTGCTGGGGGGCAGCCTTTGCGCAGATCGTGCAGCTGCGAGAGGTGCCGCTCGTCGCCGTAGACAACATGTCCCTTTTCGACGCAGCGGGGCGTGATGCACGATTTGGAGCAGCCAAGGCCATCGAAGTACAAAGTGCGGTGAGTACGGGCAGCCTGCACAGTGGACGGACGTTTCGATTTGCTCACCAGTCGTGGGGGTGGTTCTTGTCTCTAGGTATATCGTCCGTGTCGAGATTGCGATGCTCGCTAGCCAGAAGATGTTGTGTTTTACAGCAACTCTCGGACCTATCTTCCTCTTATAGTCGCTTGAGGACCAAGCGCGAGGGTAATTAGAAGGGAATCGTCGTGGGCCACGTCCGAACGTGAACACCACCTCGCTGGGCCACTTGCACGAGATAGCGTCGCTCTACTTACCCAAATCTTTTGCCCGGTGATCGATTCTCTATAAACAGTGAAGGGATCGACATCGTAGCCTCCCAGTTACCGGAGATCCGAAGCATATGTCCTACAGCAAAGGAGGAGCACAAACTGCTCTCAATTGCGCGGATGATAGGTAGTCCTATAAGCACATACGTCCATACAATATGCTCACGCACGCGACGTGCGTTTCATTCCAGAGGAGCACCTCGCCCTATAAGTGCGGTGCGTCGTGAGCGCACGCAATCACTACCCACATCGCACGCAGTGCCTACTCGAATCAGACGCGACATCATCGACGGGAAACAGAACCCACCCTTAGCTACCGACGCCCAAACAAGACGCATGATCAATGAGGTTGGGCGGAGTCGGAGCGGCGCCGACGCTATTCCCACCAACAACGTTGTGCTGGAGAGGAATCCGACGGTCATGAGAGCATTGTCGGCTTCACATACCAATCAGTTGACCCAGAGAGTGGAAGGGGTAACCCGCCCCGCTGGTGTAGAGACGTGCCAATCGGGTTTGACGGACTTCCCTCCCTTGGGCGACGGGATCCCTCTCGCTCCCCCTTCCTATGCAGCAAGTTATGCGGCGGCAGTCGCGAAACCCTTCGATTATCAACTCGGTGGAGATCACCTCCAGGATCTCTCGGCCCAGCCAACGCCCCTTAGCCATCGTTGCGTATGGATACCAATAAGGAGGGATCTTTAGCCCCGGCTGCAATTTCTGTACATAAGTCGCCGTAGACCTCCCGTTTTCATGGTGTTTCGTTTCGTAGGCAGACGTAGAGGCTTCCATCGTGGATGTGACAAAGTTGACCAAAAACCGGCGAGAGATTTCGGAGTCAGAGGTAGGAAAGCGAGGACGACGTGCGGTGCGTTCCCTGCACAGCTTGGAAAGAGTGCTCCCCAGTTCAGAAGCCACGACTAGGTGAAAGAGAAAGAGGACGTTCAAGCTTCGCAGACAAGACAAAGAGATACAGAAAGTGAGCGTCGACCGTGAGGTGGCTGTGGTCCAGGCAAAGTGCCAATAACTATTAGCAGTAGCGCAGAGCAGATTTAATTTCTGCAAAATGGACATTACGATTCAGGGGATTGAATGTTCCACTCTAGACCTCACGCATGCGAAGCGTGCACGCTGCCACTGTGCCAAATGCCCATCGAAGAGCCGTCTAGTTGTTACCTACAATGGGTCTTGTTTCGCTAGGCTAGGTTTTCGAAACTCCAACTGACGGCCGTCGTAACTCACAAATCGAGCATTGTCGATTACAGTGAGCTTTGGTCGCATATTTCAAAATGATGGCCTCGTGAAGGTATGAAAACTGTAAGAGTAGCGGAACTCGGATTCGATGTGTAGGGCATTGACAGGGGACAACACTGATCAAACGTACTAAGGCGTACTAATAGGGCGGCTGCCAAACGATCTCCACGTTCAGGGTTGGCCAGCATGAACGGCCCCCTCGCTAGCAGTGTGAGAAGTGCTACCTTCAGCGCCATTATCCTCCTGAGATGTGCCGTCAACCCATTCCCTCGCAATCCATTGGTCCTTCATGTAGAATTCCAAGTCCGGATCCGCCGGGTAGTAGATCAGCAAGTTCATGATGTCCCACTCGATCTGCGGAATCGGATCTATGTACCACTGAGGCTCGCACCCCAGCACAGCGCATAGCCACAAGTAAACGGCGTGCATAGGGCGATATAAACTGAGGATGGGGTTCGTGTGCCAGATTGTCATAATTTGCATTCTTGGAGCATTCTCCGGATCATCGCAATCGAGAGGGACCACGTCGTAATCGTAGATCTCCTTGTAACGTGCCCTACCGCGAAGTTCTAGGAGGCCACGGTCGAAGTCTCGAAATCCCGGGAAATGCACCAGCACCAAGTCTTGCTTCTCCTTTCGTGCCCTTCGCCGAGAATGTTGGAAGTGGCACTGGAGGCGTCTTTCGACCCTCTCCGTTATCGGCCAACCAAGGATATGGTAATATTTCTCGGTGTCGCAGCCTGACGGGAGGGGCGGAAAGTTGGCTAGAAAATTGACTGGAGTGAAGGTGCCAGGGTTGGGGTGCTTGTCGAGATACGCGAATATCTGGTGTATGGACAGTTGTTTAATTATGGCGAAGTCGAGGCGGATATTTATTCATGGTTGGACTTACCTTCAACCGATGGGGTTTCTTGTGCAACAAATGTACGGCATCCGATGTTTCATTGGTCCTGGAGCCGACTGACGTGGTATCGACCAACCCTGTATCTTTAGATTCTTCGTTGTGCGACGTTGTGCCCGACATGCTTGGAGGAAACGTGGCTCTGAATATCGGCTGGAAATGGTGGCAATGATGAGTGAGAGAGAGTGAGAGTGAGAGTGAGAGAGAGAGAGAGAGAGAGAGAGAGAGAGAGAGAGAGAGAGAGAGAGAGAGAGAGAATGTATACGAACTGGTATGGCCACAGAAGGAAAGATATGGCGAGTTACTGCTGCTAGGGGCGGAATGATAGAGAGTGGCTCACGCCAGTGCCAGGACTTTTATAGTGGGCAAGGAAGCGCGCAAAACGTGGAAACGGCCCCCAAACGAGACTCGCTTGAGTGACAGTGATATGACCAAAACGGTGAAAGTGACAGCGTTGCAACGTTGATAAAGTTATTAGCGCTTAGTGCGTTGTGTTCAAGCCGCCAGTAAAATGTGTTTAAAAAGAATTAGAGCATAACAGATGCAGTAACCTTGGATATAAAACAGATTAAAACTCCGAAATATCTATGGCAGGGTTCGTTTACATCGCGCTCCTTATCACTGCGCTTTTACTAGTTGCGTCACACTCGTCCTGGACACCTAAGTATCATGCCTCGTTAGGCAGTTGAGTAGTGTGTGTCCTGATGCTGTGATCCTTGCCTTGCTGTAGCTTCTGCGCTGCCCTTAAAAGGCATACGGTCTGGTGTTAGAAGCATGCGCTGGGTTGGTCACCCTGTTAACGGTTGGTCCCTTGTGTTCGAGCTCGTTTTTGGCATTTCGAATGAGCTTCTTGATCACATAAGTCCCGTTAATGTGATGCGGCTGGCCCCAGGCCGTGGACAGTATCCTGCATCGGGCTATCTTCGTCACCTCATCTAACTATATTAGTATTTCTGAAACCCTTGTGCTTCGACAAAAAGGGTGAACCTGGTCTCTGAAGCACTGGGAAGCATCGTGCACGTGTAGGACCACTTCAGTTGATCCAGTGCATTTAAGTGTATTAGCACTGCCTGAGATGTCCTCCACGGGTACTAAGCTGTACTAGGGGGACTCTTCAAACATTCACATCAAGATCTCCCCCGGCAGCTTTGATGTTCCACCTCGAATATAAAAGCAGGCGATTGTAACAGCAGCATAGTATCCTAGCTCGTTCCAAAGTTTCCCCACTTGACCTTTCCCCTCTGACTCTCTGAATCTCGCGCCTCGTGGATCATTAATAGTACCCACCCAAAGCCTCAAACGTCCAAATAGAGCTATTGGCATCTTTTCAGATCTCACTTCACATCAAGATATGAAAGCACAGTCCCGAAACCACCGAACGAGGTTGCTGCAAAAATTCATCGAGGGTGCGCTTAGTGCTTTTGGGTTGCGGTTCTGTTGCCACCATTTACTGATGTCCTTGATATAGATAAACAAGTAGTCGATACAGTTCTAGAAACCGTAGGGGCTAAATGCCAGGACGACAGTCTCGTCCGTCACATTGTTCAGCCACAGATGGACTTCCACAGTGCTCTCTTGACCTTGGCATATAATTTTGCTGTCGACCGGAAATCCGAAGCGTCGTGGTACCTGTTCTGGGAGCTGAACTTCTTGCAGAATATCTCATTGTTCTCTGTTGCCAACAACACATTGCTCGCGGTCATGCCCCACGGTCAACTTCCCATTCAGGCGTCAGTTCAGAGTTTGAAAATTCTCATGGACGATGTTCGCCGCGACGTTGAACGTGCGATAGTGATGTCGAAAGAGCGACGCGAGGCAAGCCAAGCACTGGAAGATATGAACCTCGTTATAAACGGTTTGGTCAAAACAGCCCGTAAGAAGGTCTTACGAATCCCCGATACTTCCCTGATGATCCACGGTGCCACTGGTATCTCCTCATTTTCCCACCTGCATGGTCTCAAATCGGCGGCAAGCTATTTCCATGGACCCTATCCCGTACTTCACGAGGCGAAGGTTGGATGTTCTAGAGCTGCGCTGGACACCATGATCACCAGGGTAAGGCGCGAGCAAGTGGCATGGCAATGTGTTACTGCATTTGCAGAAAATGCACAACAAAACGACATCATAACCATCGTGACGTGCGGACCGTATATCAACTGTGAGATTTACTCTCGCGATCGAGTGATACTTCCGAGGAGTGGTGATGGAGAGGACCTCGCGGAAGAAAGTTCAGATGAAGGCGGTGAAGAGTGTCAGCCTGGCACGGACACGTGGGACACATGCTCATATGAAGGGTCCGCAGATGGCAACGATGGAGATGATCATGCAGACGTTCCGGTCATTGCCTCTAGACGTACAAGAACGGAAAAAGAAAGAGGCGGCCCGGCCCAGCCTAGGTCGGGGCCCTTCCGTCTAATCGCTGATATTGAGCGAGAGAACCAGGAGAAGAAGGAACGTACCACGGCTCTCCCTACCCTGGCGATTTCGGACGACACACCTGCGAACGAGTCTGGGTCAGACCTCGGAAACGTCGATCTGTCACAGTTGCGGTTGGGCTCCTGCGAAACAACAGCCACCGACGCAGGGGTACCCAAGGCCCCCCAGACTGCTGAGAAGACAGCCAGTGATAAATACCTACTCAACGTCTTTTCCGACAACCGGTGTGTCCACGCCACAAGCGAGAAGAAAATGGAACAAGTATTCCGCCACGTGCGAACCAAGATGGTTGAACTCTATCCCGGACTCTCTGAGAGTGGTCAGCCAATGTCTTTCAAGGAAACTTTGGCCTATAATGTTCGATCTGGGCTAGCCAACGCATTCAGCGGGGACAACGACCACTCGGATCTCAGAAGCGAAATTCAGAAGATGATGCGGGGCTTGTTTGAAACGCTGCTGAGCGACCCGCAGGTCGCCAAGGTCTAGTTCAACGCCATGGCATCACGCTCGTGGCCCATGTCCGGTAGTTATCTGGCATATCCTCTTTCAGCTCAGTCCTTGTAGTATTGGTATTTCAAGTAGTCGGCATGATTAGCTAGGCTGACATGTATGAATTGAGTTCAATAATGCGACATAGAGTACTAATAATACTCATGCCTGGCAGTGTGCGTCTTACTCATTGTTAGTAAGAAGGCTCTGGCCGCGTCTAAAGGCCAGCGCGCAGCTGCGTAGGTAACTCACAGAGATTGAGCCTTTAACATACGCCAACAACCCTCAGTGCGCAATTAGACGTCCACTCGATTCCGTACGAGTTGTGTACTTCGAACAAGATGACATTACTCCATGACAAGCCGTGTCAAATTCCGCACCAACCCTGGGTCTTGAGCATTTTCACAAAGCGCGAAAGGCGAGTGGGAGACGCACAGAGTCTTGAAACTTTGCCGCGCATAAGTACTATATTGGTGGTACGGCTTGCCACTGTGGTAGAGTGTGTCGTGTGCTAACACGCCTCCTGTCCGACAGGAGGGCCGTCCTGAGTTCCGCTTCGAGTACATGAAGGAAACACCCGGGCGGGCATTACGGGTCGTCGATGGAAGCTGAGGGAGCAGCGGCAAGTTATATTATACGTTTGTACATTCGATCAACGGATAGACAGCAACAGCATGCGAAGGAACGGCAGGAGAAGTACGGTACCAGCTTCTGGGGACAGCATGGAGCGAAACGAAATCGAGGCGAGGATAGCGTGGGCAGGGGAGCAAACGAGAGCAGACGTACACGGATTGGATGTGGAAAGGGCATGAAGGAGTTCGCCGAGACAGAGCATGACTGCAGCTCAAACGTCGAGCGTAGGGAGGCACATCGTTGCCAATTACACAGCTCAAGGCTGCGGTCTGGCAGCGACTCCCTCGGAAAGCTTTGACGTCCGGAGACGATCAGCATGACATTTCAAAAGACAGGAGTGTTGATGACATACCTTATAGAGTCCGGTCCCTCTGAATGGGCTGGTCGAGAAGAGCGGCCCGTTGTTGCTGCGTGAAGGATCCACTCGCCTCCGCCATTG